ATTGCACTAGCAGCTCTTTCATCCAAGTCAGCCCAATCCTCAGCTTTCATGGTATCAAGCTTTTTGGCATCAACATCTAGTACCTTGTGTAATCCTTGTTGGATGAGCAGATCCCTCATCCTTCTTTGCCATGTTGAGAAACCGTTATCTCCGTTGAATTTTGCTACCTCGTACTTTACTCCGGACATTTTTATTTTTCACCGAGTATAGTACTATCGATGGTGAATAGTATTTCAGTGAACGAGCAGAACATGTGCTCTGATACTAGTTGTTGAGAATAAACCCCCACAGAAATAATATTCACGATATTAAAAGCGGAATAATAACGTAGCACCGAGATACGACAATTAACAAGAATAAAAGAGTGACAACAACACCAAGATTTTTACGTGGAAAACCCTTTTGAATAAGGGAAAAACCACGGCCCTTAGACGAGCAATTGATATCACTATTGCAAGGAATTTTACACTTTGTAGATCCGAGTAAAATACTCCAAAGACCACTACAACACTCAAAAGAAATAACCCTCTTTTGATATTTTCACCTTACTCCAATATCGCTCACTCTCTAATTTCCTCATAAACTATTTTCTTATACCTTATCTATGAAACCTCACTCTTTCTTTCTCTCTTTGTTGGTGTGTGGAAATGAGAGTTGAAGCTCTCCTTTTATAGCTAAAGTTTCACTCTCTAAAACTTACCATATTTGACAATTTATACACACTTTTCACAATTCAACGAAATTGGCTACCAAACCAAAGAAAACTTTTATTAGGCACATGCCTAATACTTCTTCAATGAGATGGGCATCATCAGGTATACCTATCAAACACAAATTCAATAATTTCAAAACTAATATTAATGCGTGAGCCTTACTCTCTTTTAAAGTGACAGATCAAATCAATAAAATAATTACATGTCAGCTAAAAAGAAGAAGATAAAATTAATTATTAAATCTGACCAAAGAATAAGAAAGAGAAAGGAGCAGTCCTTCCCCACCATTCTCCTTTTTATCCCTGCTACAATTAGTTGAACGGATGTGGCTGTTTTCGGAGAAATTTTTTCACAAGCCAGTTACTGTGACGATACTGATTTTTATCTATGTCATTTCTCACATACAAATATAAGAATTTTGCAAACAAAGTGAAAACCCTTTAATTACTATTATACTTATTAGAATTCTTAAATATATATTTTACTTGATAATTTTTAACTCCCTTAATTAGATATCTTGAGGATAATGTATTTCTGGTGATTGGGGGTGCATTTTTATGGCTGTTGATGTACAATGAGATGGTATTACTTGATAAAGTAGGGGGGGG